TAAAATATATTTATAGATTATAAAATATATAATAACAAGACACATCTTATTTCAAAATAAGCTTTATTTTAAAATAGACCTTGCTATGTGTTGGAGGGAGTCTGTTTATTACAAATTTATTGTCAGGTGTCTTAATCAGCTTCTTAAAATTAAACATTTTCCTCTACTACTTGGAAAAATTTTGATAGAACAACTTTCTCAACTTTGTCAGCCCAGGGTCTTTGTCCAACCTAATTTTCCCACTTTTCCTGAGGAATACCTAGTGGTTTGAGTAGAAGATCCAGCTTTGCCTAGTATTTGAGGAGTTGGTTTTTATTCACAATTCTAGGTTTTGTCAGCAAAGTATGTAAGTTCATTTATACCCGTGCCCTCCAGTAATAAAGTGTGTGATTGATGGAGGAGGCAGTCTTTGTCAGCTGGCCGGAGGGACAGGTTTAAAAGCGAAGACTTCTCTCTTGTCTTAGTCTTGACCTCTTCCCCTCCCCCGCCTGGGTGACACTTTGCCTCTTGGCAGTCACATTTGTTCACCATCAGTTAGAATGGCAATGATCAGTGTTTTCTCAAAAACAGTAACAACAGTCTTTAATCCCCGCACTGAGGAGGCGGAAGCAGGCAGGCCTCTGAGTTCAAGGCCATCCTGGTCTATATAGCAAGTTCCAGGCCCGCCAGGACTACATAGTGAGTCCCTGTCTCAGATGATGATGATGGTGATGATGATGAATGAAGGCTGGCCTTTTCTGTTGTGTTCAGTTGGCCACGTCTTCCATGAGTGTCTGCAGTGATAGGCAGCACCAGTGCTGGGAAGTGAAGTGGCTCTCGGTGAGAACGGCCTGCTTTGCCCACACCTGCCTTTCTCTTTGGCTGCATTTGTCTCATTTTGTCTATCCTGCTAGCACAAAGAGCTGTGTTCCACAGGAATTATTTTTTTCAGAGTTTGCTGCTGCCTTCCCCCAATTTTTTTTTTTTTTAACAAAAGTATTTTACCACAAGTCATCAAGATCATCCAGTGAATAAAGGTGCTTACAGTCAAACCTGACAACCTGAGTTCGATCCTTGGGACCCACAGGTGAAAGGAGAGAACCCACTCCCGCAATTATCCTATGACCTCCACACATGCCCGCACGTGCGCGCGCACACACACATAAATGTAGTAGAAGTGTTTTTAAAAGTCTATTACCTGATTTGTGTTTAGGCTCACACCAAGTCTCTCATGTGTCGTGCTTTTTCATTTTACACCCTGCACGTGTTCTACGGTTTATCCAACTTTGGAGGCCTGGCTTTAAAGGGACTTTCAGAGGCATGCGACTTGTTGCCCAGCCTGTGTCTGCCCTGCTGGCATGGAGTTCCAAGAAATCAGCCCCTCGTGTTGAACGAGAGCAGCGGGCTTTCCCGTTTTCCGCAGGAAAGACGCTCACCCGCTCTCGAGCCTGAGGCCACATTGATGAGTTCTTTCTCTCACGAGCTTTCCTCCTTCCTTTCTCCTTTCCTTTCTTCCCCACCATCTGTGACTTTTCCCCACCCTTTTAAAATCATTAAAGAAAATCATGGAATTAAAATCATCGTGCCAGACAGCCAGGAAGTAAAATGGGAAACTCTGTGACCAGAAGCTGAGGGAGAGCTGGGGGAAGAGGCTCCCAGCCACCTGAGAAGTTGAGAGAGACAGAGGTACTGGGCAGAGGGGCCCTAGATGCTCCCTGGTGCAGCCACCATTGCTTCTACCAGTCACCTCATGGTAGTGGCTGCCCCCTTCTCCTGGAAAGTTCTACTGGGAGATCCTGGCATCTGAAAAATATTAGAAAAGTGTCTGTTGGGGACCCAAGCAAGCCACTTGCAAATATTTGCAAGGAAGCATTCGATATCAGACCCTCACAATTCCAAATGGACGTCTTGCCTACAGGAAAACAATTCTGTTACTTACTAATTACAGAGAGAGGAGGGAAAGAGTGAGAGAGAAAAAGAGTGAGCAACCTTAAACAGTATCAGCAGCAACATTTTCTTTATTAAAAAATACAGTCCTGGGGCTGGAGAGGTGGCTCAGCAGTTAAGAACACCAGTTGTTCTTGGAGAAGACCCGGGTTCAAATCCCAGCACCCACATGGCAGCTAACAACTGTCGGTAACTCCAGTTCCAGGGGATCCGACAGCCTCTTCTGACCTCCGCAGGCATTGCACGACACGGGTACACTTACCTATATGCAGGGAATACACGCATACACATAAAATAATAATTAAAGCAACAACAACAACAAAAACTACAGTCTCAGATCCTGGATGACGAACTTAGATGCTGCCTCTTGCTTTCCATTGGTTGGGACCTAATCACAGCCCAGAGTGTACTGTGTGAGTACACTGTATCAGAGTTCCTGTGGACAGCAGGCATACGTGTGTAAGGAGATAGCACAGACAGACTGGCTTCTGATGTCTTGCCCTGTAGGATCACATGATTCAGGCTCCAGACTTCATATGACAGAGTTGGGACAGAGTCTGTGAGGAGAGGGTGTGTTTGTCCTAAAAGGCATCTGGAAATTATCACATTTTGCATAAATAAGTGGTGCTTGGACTCAGATACCAGAATATGCTACAGAAGATGAAAAGGGGGCCTGGGTATTGAGGTTCACCATTGAAAGTTCTTTTTAATTTATATTGGCGAAAAGAAAGGGTGGGAGACAGAGATCGTTTTACTCTGAATGCTTTGATGTGTTTCATGTGATATAGAAGCCCAGGATAGAGAAACCAAAATACCAGTTTCACTGTAGCCACCAGACTGGCTCCCAGTAGGTTCCTGAAGCAGCTACGACTTCTGCCACTGAGAAGTAAAATAGAATTTAAATGCTTAATATTTGCACTGTCCAAAGTTTGGTGCATGAAATGTACTCTTACACTTACTTTTTCTTTCCCTCCTCCCCCTTCTGTTTTAGTGGCACGCCCTCTCTCGTGAAGAACAGGCTAAATATTATGAATTAGCACGGAAAGAAAGACAGCTACATATGCAACTCTATCCAGGCTGGTCGGCGAGAGACAATTATGTAAGCCCTTCTCCGCACCAGTGGCTTCCTCCCACTTTCCTTTGCTTTCATGGGGGTGGTTTTAGGGTCTGAGTAGTCCTGGTATCAATTCTTATGTTTGGAAATTGATAATCAAACTGTAATAAAGATTTCATGAGGATATTGCTTGAAAGCTTTAAGCTTTTATTTTGTTGCTGTGAATGCTAATTCATCTTTAAAGCTTTTAAAGATCAAAATGTAAAACCCCTTATTAAAATGTTAAAAAATATTTTAAACAAAAATGACTTCCATAGTTTCACCATGTAAAGGCGAGATTAGTACTATTTATATAACCTTCTAATATTTTTAAATTTTATTTTTATTTTATGTGTATGAGTGTCTCTTCTGCATGTATGTAAGTACTCCACATACGTGTGATGCCCACAGAGGCCAGAAAAGAGTGTTCAATTCCCCAGAACTGGAGTCAGTGTTGTGAGCCACCATGTGAGTGCTGGGCACCAAACCCAAGACTGGTGCAGGAACAGACAGCGCTCCTAACCACTGCGCCACCTCTCCAGCCTCACCTTCTAGTATTTCTCTGTGCTTTTAGTTTTCACTCAGATAGAACGATACATGTGTTTTGTGTCCTGTCTCTTGCTGTTATGTATAAACGACTGTTTCTTTTATAGCGTAATGTTTGTATCAGTAGTCTACTGAGTAAACGTCACAGGCTCCTCAACCCATTTTCATGCTTTTAGACATTTAAGTTTCTCTTTTTGACAGATGTGCATCACGCCACAACAAGTATGTCTGTTCCAGGGACTCTTGTTTCTTTCGGGTAAATGGAGTCCTTGTAGTAGAAAAGTTGAGTGAAAGGATTTAACATAATTGGTTTGAATGTACCCAAGTCTAAGTTTCTCAATAAAGAGAAAAAGAATCTCCACTAAAAAAGGATATTTTAAAGTTCTTGAAACATATTGTCAAAATTTTTTCCAGATGATGATTATTTTGCAGTTCTTATAAGCAATGTATTTTGGTGGCTATTTTGCCACAGGATTAGAACTGTACGACTTTTTTTTAATCCCGCCATAATGTGCTCTGATGTCTACATACTTTGACTAAAGACAAGAGTATGGGTTATCGTGTTTTAAGCTATGCTAATTTTATTGGCAAGAACTACCCAAATTATAGTGCCAGTTCTTTTATTACTGTTTAGTTTGAGCCTCTTACTGATAGGGTTTCATATGGGGAACAAAAAGTAAGTCTGCTATATAGATTAAAGTAAATATGGTAAGAATGTATATTATGAATGGTATATTTGAAGTTTTATCATAGTTTATAGAAAATAACTGGTTTGGCTGTTTAGACCCTTGAAATAAAGATTTGAAAATCATCTCAGGTCAGACTGCTACAACAAAATACCACAGCTTAGGTAGTTTATAAATGCAGAATTTCATTGTTCACTGTTCTGGAGGCTAAAAAGTCTGAAACCAAGAGCACTCAGTAATAGGTTGGATTTCTGGTGAGGGCCTCCCCCAAGGCTTTTTGCTGTGTGCTCACCAGGTGAAGGGGTGAAGGAGCACCCCAAGCCTGCGGGATCCCATGCCCCAATCATTTCCCAAGGGTTCCGCCTCCTCATTCCATTGCACTGAGAGGTATGATTGCAGTGTGTGGGGTTCTCTATAGCAGTCGTCATGCGCCATGTGCGACTAGCAGCATGCTGTCCAGTCCTGATGATGGGATCGCCTCTTCAACAGCACGGTGAGGCCATGAGTCAATGTCCAGTTTAATGGTGGCCTTCACTATGGATACTCCAGTGGGGTGGGGTTCCCACAGGGATGATAACAATGATGCATGTCTAAGGTCATACAAGGGCATACATCCCATGTAAGACATTAGAGCATTTAAACACATGTGTCAATATCCTTCTGGTAATTGGGTTGCACAGTGTGTTCCCTATAATATGCTCCATAGAAGTGCCACTTTACTGTCAAAAGCTGGAGCTGAAGCATTGGATACAACTTTGAAACAGGAAATCAGTTCTGCTCTCAGCTACCTCAGAGCAACAGCACATTCATCTCCCCAGAGTTGTTTCCTTTCTTTTTGACGTATGCTGACTGTCAGGAGTGTCTTCAGTTCTTCCCGTTTCTTTCTAATTTTTACAACCATCCAGTGGCATCAACATCATTTCTCCAGTTCTCAGGGGAAGGGTTGAGAGGTCAGAGAGGTTAGGTCATTTGTCTGGGGCCAGTGGTAGGTGGCTACACTACAATTTATCCCCACATCTCCTGACTTCAGAATCTCCATAGCTGGTCTCTTGAGGATTAGCTCAGTGTCCGCTTTCTTAAGTTGACTGAGCAGAAGAATTTCTGCCCTAGAACTGGGCTTCTGTTCCCTAAGCAGTAATTACCATCTCTGTATATGGAGCCTTTGCTGTGCCCTCCCCCAGAGGGCTGCAAAACTATCCTCTTCTCGTTCTGTCCTGCATGCCTTTTGGCTGTGGCTTGCTGGGAGGGGATCGCTGACCTTCTCTCTCTGACCCATGCCAGAGCTCTGCTGAGCTGTGGGTTTCTTTGGACTCAGCTTTGCTTACTGAATGTCTTTACATTTCTTTTCTGATCCTTAAGTAATGAGTTTAACTTTTAGAAAGACATAAAAGACGTGCTGTCTTCTCTCCCTTTCTATTCTTGCTGTTTCCTTTCTGCTCCCTCTATACCTATGAAAACAAAGGTGTTTTGAAGAAAGAAAGACTTACAAGTTTACCTTTAAGGATTTTACTCTCCATAATTTTTTTTTTTTTTTGGTCTTTTTGAGACAGGGTCTCCCTGTAGCCCCAGCTGTCCAGGAACTCACTATGTAGACCAGGCTGGCCTTGAACTCACAGAGATCCGCCTGCCTCTGCCTCCTGAGTGCTGGGATTAAAGGCGTGCACCACCACGTCCAGCTCTCTCTCCATCATTTTTAAAAAAGAGATTGTTTTGCATGTGCCTTGAATGACAGGAACTTGGCTTCGATCATACTACTTTAACAGTTTTAAAAACCTGTCAGTGACTAAGGTGAAAAAGAGTCCGTCAGGTGAGAACACTCAAGCTAAAGCTGTTCTCAGCAGGACCAGGATTTGAAGAGCAGAATAGGATTGTGGTGCGGCGTGCATTGCAATGTGGGGTGCATTGCTGTGTGGGGTGAGCTCCCGATCCTCAGATCAGTAAACATAGCGCTAGTGTTTCAGTAGTAAAATGCCCTGCCTGATGGCATCATGGGCTTTGCAGTTGCAGTTTGCTTTGATACTGAAGACTAATGACTGACGTTTTCATGACTCAACAGTGCATGCATTTTCTTGAGTGAGATTAGCCGAGTTTTTGTCTAGCTAGAACTTTGAAATTCAGTGCTTCCTGCTGCCCAGTATTATATAGTCTATGAAATTTTAAAAGAAAAATATTTTTTATCACATGTGAATATTGGGTTTTAATGTAAAAACTACTTAGTCCTTTTTTGTCTGCCATAAATTGTATGTATGTTCTCTTGATGCAGTGGTTTTTTTTTTTTTTCCTAAAACAGTGCAGTGACAGTAGGGGCATGGTGCTCAGGCGGCCCTGCGTGCTACGCTTGCCTTGTGCAAGGTGGGCAGCAGGGTGCCCGAGGCCCTAGCCCACAGCCAGGTGTAAGGAGCTCAGGGCAGTGCTCTGAACACCACCCAGTTCGGGGTCGTATCAGAGCTTACTCGCAAGAGGCACCCCAGCTCTCTCTGAGGAAGAGAGACAAGGTGTGGGACAAAGAAGTTTCTTGCAAGAGATGACACTTGAAGCAGGTGCCAAAAAGCAAGTGGGAGCTGGGAGAGGAGAGCGGTAAGGTTCTAACAAAAGGCCTCACAGGAGCTTTTCAGACCTGCGGTAACTATTTGACTGAAGCTAATGATGACTGAGGAGTGTGCCCTCCCATCTGCTCCCTCTTCCCAGAGCACGTCAGTTGTAGTAAAGTTAGTGTTATTTTTGATAAGCTGTTCCCCTGGGTCACTGACAGCAGTCTTGTTTGCCTTGTGTTTATGAAGATAGTTTCTAAACTTTGTAAAGCTTTAAGGCCTCAGTCATCGTGAGAAGAAAAGCCGCTTTGAGGTACATAAATACATGTGTACTTTTATAGAGCCACAAAATATCTTCAGTATCATCTGATGGTTTTATTTGTTTGTTCTTTGCTAATGTCACTATTCCAGACAACATCAAATAGGGATGTTGGGTCTGCTGTGTGTTTCGTTACAGTTGGTTGAAAGTATCTAATGCACATTAGCCAGTTGCTCTTCATGAAAGTAGAGCCTGGCTATATCCTGCTAGCTGTTTTTAATGGGAAAAGTAGTTTAGAAGAAAAATGAGACCACTGTATGTGACCTAAACTTTTCTGTCACTGACATACATTTAAAACATACTTAAAATTGCACCTATGTCCATGTCATCCTGTCTCTGTGAAAAAGAAAGGTCCTTTGTCTCCCCGGTAACCCTCAACCGCCACCTCTCTCCGTGGTTGTGCCTGCTTCTGTCACAGGGCTCTGGGCAGTCAGGTTGATACCGTGGGCCTTTATATTTTATGGTGCAGACCACAGTAGGAACCATCCTGAGCCCTGCCAGAGACAGGCTCGCAGGAGTGCCTGAAGAAGCAGGAGTGTAGGAATCACACATGCATACACACACACACACACACACACACACACACACACTGTACATGCAGGTAGTGAGAAGAGAGACAGGAAGGGAGGGAGAGAGAGAGTGCCCGTGTCTCTGGCTGGCCACCTTTCTTTTGTATACTGGACTTCTCGATGCCCAGCACGTGTTTTCTTTCTGACCCAGTGCTCTCTCCTTCCAGGGTAAGAAGAAGAAGAGGAAGAGAGAGAAGCTACAGGAATCTACTTCAGGTAGGCCCCATGTGACTGTCCACCAATGCTTGTGCTTCTGGGAGACTCCGTGAAGAGTAGCCGGCGTCTTCCTGTACACTGCTTTGTTCTGTTGACTGTCACCTGTGATTCTTTACTTGGGTTTCCTTCCCGAGATTCTTGAATGTTTAAATAGACTTTTCCTTTAAAATGTGGCAATGCGAAGGTACTTGTAGCCTCTCTCTCCCCAGCCCTGCGTCCTGAATGGTAGCTAGGCACTGTGGCTGTTCGTTGCTTTTGTGTTTTGCTCGTGTTGCCTGTGTCCTCTGCTCTAACCCTGCTGCCTCTGCTCTGCCTGCGTAGTCCTTCAAAACATAACTTCTAGGATGACGCCGCAGTCTGTTACCTTGCATTCCCCTTGAGAGTCTTGTCCGTGATTGGGTTTTTAAGACTAAACACCACAGTGGCTGGGCTTGTCTTTCTTGCTCACTGATGCCAGGTATCAGGAGGCCCCAGTTCAGTTCCCCCTTTCTTTCTATTAAAAACAAGGCCACTACTTGTACTTCACAAATAATAATGGCTTTCATAGGAACCATAAATAGCAAACAGGTCCACACAGTATTGTAGCTACTACATACTTGGATTGTACAGAAACCTCTTCCATAAAAGTTTGTTAAAGACACACTTTTCTGCAGGTACAGGTCCCCGAATGACAGCTGCCTACATCTGAAGCATGGTAAGAACAACTCTCTGGTCCTGTGCTGATGTTAGCTCTAACAAGAGGCACTTGCTTGCGAATCCTCTTGTTCACACCGTTTCCATTCAGCCTTGCTCCTGAAAGAGGAAACGCCACCCAAACCAATGTAGTCTGTGGACGCTGTTGTGGTTTTCACACTGGCTATGTATATACAGTAGAGTGTTGCCTTTCGTTCCATTCATTCCTGCTCCATTCTCTGTCCCTACCTCTTCTCAGCTCTTTCTGACCAATAGTAAGTCTGCTTCTACAAAATCAAAGGCAGCAAGCAAAATGTCGTTCCACCCAGACAGAATGGGTCTGAGGCGCAACCGTCCTAGCCCACTCAGCACTGTTGCTTGGTCCAGCCTCTTATTCAGTTGAAATGATATTACAGACAGTGAAAAAGTGAGAGTGCTTTGATTTCACAAAAGTGGTGAAAAAGATTCATGTGCTTTTGTTTTTTCCTGTTTTAAAATAGCTCATGGGCATTTATTGTGACTGTTTCTTCTATTAAGTATTTTTCTTTGTTAGTAACCATTGCTAGATCTCACCCTAGTACTTGTAAGTGATGATTCACTTACTTTTGCAATAAGTCTTTAACTTCTATCCACATGACCACTAGCCCAAGGAACCTGGCCTTGTAAATAAGGCTGGATGTTTGTTAAGTTTGAATTCACCCTGTGTAGTCATTTTTCACAGCAAAGTTACTTTTGATTTGGCATCATTCTTTCTCCAGAAACCTGGTGCAGTCAATCAGCAAGGCCTGTTGAACTTTTGGGTTCACCCTGCCCCTTGTCACTGTCCAGCCCCAGTTCCTACCGCATGGCCATTGTAGCCTCTGGGGAACTGTGGCTGCAGACTTCCTTTCTAAGGAAGTTCATGTTGCTCTCAGAAATGAATGGTGTCCACTTCTCTACTCAAACCAGCTGACTTTTCTCACTGCCTGAAGGATGCGCCACATCGTCTCACGGGATCCACTGCCGCCCCACCCTCTTGCTGGTGCCTTTGGTCACTTGTTCCCTGTGCCCCCTCACTTTCAGCCTGGCCTGTGTGAGATTTGTGCTGTGTCCAAACAAAATTATTAGGAGTTCTCCAAGTAGATGGAGGGTGCTGCCCCCTCTGTCCCTGTGTTTGGAAGGCCTACTCACTCTACTTAATGAATGGGCGGGTGTGGGCAGCATTTATTTTTTTAATTTTTATGTGTATGGATGATTTGCCTGCATGTACATAAGTGCACCCATGTTGGGCAATGCCTGCAGAAGCCAGAAGGTGTAAGAGGGTGTAAGAACCCCTAGAACTGGGGTTACAGACGGTTGTTAGCCACTATTCGGGCGCTGAGAACCGAACCCCTGAGTCCTCTACAAGAGCAACCAGTGCTTTTAGCTGCTGAGCCATGTCTCCAACCCTGGGGACGCGTTTCTTAGGAGAAGAGCAGTGGCCTGCAGTTTCTATGCTCCTGACTAAGCCAGGTAACCTTGTCTATCAGTATTTAGTTTGGGTGCTGAAATTTCAACCAACTTTACCTACTGAAATCTCCCAGCAGAGATTTTGGCACCAAGTGGGTTTAAGTTTCCAATCAGCTGACTTGTCTGGACCCTCTAATTTTTAATCTTGGTTTTCTTCATTGGTGAAGTGGGGATTGGTGGTGCCTGCCTCCTTCCATCTCCACGTGCACTGCATGCCTTGCCTTCCGCAGTCAGAACTCAGAGGTCCCTTCCTTCCTCCTGATACCCCGCCAAGTCTTCTCCTGAGAAACTATCTTGGTCTTTATTCCAGATTTTCAAAATCCCATACGATAGCACAGGTCTTCTATCCCCATCTAACCTGAGCAGCCGGCTTCTTCCCTGTTGAAGCACCACCTCTCTATAAGGTGGCTATACAGCATCTCCAAAAGGCAGCACAATCACAGGTGACAGCCACATTTAGCTGAGTGGGTGTTAATCATCTTCCAAGCCAGTCACCTGGTTTTGTTCACCAGAGCACAGAGATGGCTTAATCATGGCCCCTTACCCAGCCTGGCGTCACCAAAGTCAACCTAGAAAGGCTCATGCGCACAGGTTGTCTTGTTTGTTAGTGTCTTTGTTTTATATTTATTTATTTATTTATTTATTTATTTATTTATTTATTTTATATTTTATTTGGTCTTTTTGAGACAGCCTCTCCCTGTAGCCCCAGCTGGCCTGGAACTCACTATGTAGACCAGGTTGGCCTTGAACTCAAAGAGATCCGCCTGCCTCTTCCTCCCAAGTTCTGGGAGTAAAGGTGTGCGCCACCATGCCCAGCTTTGTTTTATCTTTTTAAGGTAGATTTTCGCTAATCCATTTGGGCCTCCAACTCTCTATGTAAACAAGGTGCCTCTACCTTCTGAATGCTGGGATATCAGGCTTTGTACCACAGTGCTTTGTTTACATGGTGCTGAAGATCAAGGCCAGGACCTCATGAATGCCAACTGAGCTAGCTACATCCCCAGCCCGGCATTGATTTTTAAACATATTCTTTTTATCCCTGAGCTCTTAGGACTGGTTTCCAGCCCTTCTTGTGTCTTGCTTTTATGTGGAAGGCCCCCAGCGAAAGGCTACATTTTTTTTTGCATCAATGATTTAAAATTTTTCTGTTTACTAATTTTTATTTTATGTGTATGAACACATTGCCCCATGTCATGCAATGCCCACAGAGGTCAGAAGAGGGCAGGATCCCCTGGACCTGGAGTTGCAAACAGTTGTTAGCCGTCATGTGGGTGCTGGGAACCAAACCTGGGTCCTCTGCAGGATCAGCCAGTGGTCTTAACCACTGAGCCATCTCGCCATCCCTGAACCAATCATTTTAAAGCTAACTCTTTCACGTAAAATAAGCTTCAGTACCTCAGAGTCTGGCACTTGATTAAATGGTCTGTCATGACTAATGTTTTTTGATGTAAAGGCTGAAGCTGAGTATTTTTGCCTCCAGATGTAGCTCAGATACCTATTCCTTGACTATGTCACAGCTATTATTGTGCGTCTTTATCACTTAATTTTTTCCTGGAGATTAAGGTGCATTCTTTGTCCTATAGAAGGAAAGAGAAGCCCCTGGACATCCCGTCCTCAAGCCCCGAGCGTCTAGGTGAGGCCCCAGCTGTTGCCTTCACTCTTTAGTCTCTAGTCTCCCTTCCCTCTCATTCCCTGGGTTAGTCATGTGGCCTTTGAAGTAAGTCACTGTCCCCCTCAGAATCCTGTGTGGAGAACAGAACTGGCAGCCATGAGATAAGGAGGGAGCAGAGAGAAGCCAGATTGCCGTTCAGGAAGATTTCATTGATGAGTAACCGTATTCTACTTGTTCCCCTTGTTCCTTTTGCTGGTTTAGGAAGTCGAAAACTTTTCTATACACAGTGACTGGCCTGTCAGGCACCATTCCACATTGACTGTGCACCTAATAACACCAGGTTTTACAAGACCTGGAAACACAACGTTGGAAGAGGCAAAGAAGGTCCCTGCTGTCCTGTACTCACTGTATTGCTCTGAGGGTATTTGATACAAAATTAACAGGGAAATATAAGTGCTATTAAAAAAAAAAAAAAAAAAGCAGGCTTCCTGGTCAAGACAGCTCTTCTGTGGGGGACTTCACAGTGACCATTGCTAGCCCCGAAGCTAGTGGAAGGCATTTTGTTGAGGAACTGAGCAGCCTCAAAGAAATGAAGAACAAGGGTACCCAGGTCTTCAGAGCCCAGGAATTGTGCTGCAGGACAGGCCCCTCATAGCATCTGGACTTGGTGTAAGAGAGAAGGGAGAGGTCCAGCTTGTCCCTCCTTGAGTCTAACTTCCTGATGTGTGCGCCTCCCCGTGTTGATACAGGGACTCTCACTACCTTGCCTTCCTTCTGATGGTTTCTGTGTAGCTGTAGTGCAGGTGTGACCTAGACAATGACTTTTACAGTGTGTGGTTCTTTACTTCCTGTGTAGGTCATCTCCTAAGCCTCTTTCCCCTCCCTGGAGTGGCTTCCTGCTGCCCCTGGTACTCAGAAGCAGCACTGAGTACTCTTTGGGGGTTTAGTTTCCCCTGATGTAGTAAGGGGGTCCCAGTATCTCCACAGCTGGTCTTCAGTTCTGAGGGAACAATACCAAGTGACACAAAGCTAATGAAACGCAGTGCCTGGGCACAAAGGGGACAAGACTCCGCCTTGAGGAGGTTCGTTTCTCCCATGTGCATGATGAAACGTCACAGTACCATCACTAGTATGCCGTGCTGTCAGACCCAGTCTCCCCAGCAGTCACGCCGCCCCCCACTCCAGCCCCCTCCCTTGGCCTCTCCCCCTTTCCCTTTTCCCTAGTAGCCCCACTATATATTCAGGATCTCCTTTCTTTTTCTAGAAAAACAATTTTTCTTTTAAATGTAACTTTTAGCAGTATACAAAGTAAATTTTGTTACGGAATTTTCCTTTTAAAAATGTTTTTGTTCGGGGACTGGAAAGATGGCTCAGTGGTTAAGAGCATTGGCTGCTCTTGCAGAGGACCTGGGTTCTGTTCCCAGCACCCAGGTGGCAGCTCACAGCGATTTGTAACTCTAGTTCCCGGGGATCCAGTGCCCTCTTCTGACCTCCAAAGGCATTGCGTGACACAGGTACACTTGCATACATGCAGGCAATACACTCATACACATAAAAATAAAATAAATAAGCCGGGCGTGGTGGTGCATGCCTGTAGTCCCAGCACTGGGAGGCAGAGGCAGGCGGATCTCTGTGACTTCGAGGCCAGCCTGGTCTACAAAGTGAGTTCCAGGACACCTGGGGCTACAGAGAGACCCTGTCTCAAAAAGACAAAAAAAAAGTAAATAATAAAACATAATAACAGGTTTCCGTGTGGAATTTCCATCACGTTTCATTTGGTTGATTTGTCTCTTCCTCCCAACCTGTCACCCATGCCCGTTGTGCTTTAAATTATTTGTTCCCTTACCCCCATTGCCCACCCCGCCCTGCCCCTCTCTGGCTGCTCCCCCCCCCCCATAGTTTTCCTTTCTGCTTGTTTCTAC